TTGTACAATATATCACTGAGTAAGAGTTTGAGTTCACCTGGTATACACCAAACCTGAATCTTCTGCTGGAATTCACACAGCTGTTTTACTTTTTTCGAACATGTGGATGACTTACTCCACCATCCATGAACTTAGTAAAATGATCATTCCTCCTCTCTTATTACTCAAGTGACAAATTAATTCCTTCGCATTATTACCAATGTTTCAATTAACCCAGCTCGTAACCGCCATGTTTAGAAGCAGTAGTATTCCCTATATTCTTCAACACCTGTCTCTTCAAGATGTGAAGCAACAGTCACCCACAAGCCACTTGATTTCATTCTAGTGACCCAGTCATTAAATGCTGTTATTTAAATATGACGGCTAGGTATTGAATCTCTAGTGCAGTCACTGATGAAGACCACCTAGAAGCTACAGACTATAGTAAAAAGTTAGTCCCTTATTTTTCATTTATAGTAATTCTCCAAGTCGTATTGTATAAGGAAATTTACCTTCGGATCGATCAGATGTCCAAAAAGCCGAAATCTAAAACCTTTCTTAATTATAGTCTTAATTTTCCTTGTTAACTCAATGACTAATCTTTCATTTGACTACTGACAACGTCCTATGCATCAGACACTAAACACTACAGCTGTTAGTTAAGACTCATCTGCTTAAAAGAAAATTTTGTTGCAGTTAAATGCAAGAATACTAAACACCTTATATATCTCTGCATGTATAATATGATGTGAAAATTTAGGTTTTCACTAACCTTTACTCATATCATACGATGTCTCATCAGTTATTTCATACGGCAAACCGATGACACCACCTGGTTGCAAGGCATATATACGAATTCTTCGATCTGTACCACCAGTTGCTAACTCCAAACCATCAGGAGACATATCCAGTGTATATGTCTGTTGAGGTTCTAAAAAATAAATTCAAAATAAAGTGGATATAGTATTATCGATTATTTAGATAAATAATACAAAATGACAAGTGAATTAAGGTTTCGATTACCAATATATTGTACTGAAAAAACTGGCGCAAGTTCATAAGGTTTTCCATGTCACCCTAGAACTCACACCTGACTCATAGTTTCCCATTTGGATTCCACTCAAGAGCCTGGCGTATGTTGTCACTCAACGGTCTACCCAGCGTATGTCCATCTCCATTTTCTTCTGCATGTTTGTTGGTCAATAGGTCTTCCGTCAGTTTGTCTCCAAAGTTCCCTTTTGCTAATCCTTTCTGACCATATGATCTTCACTTGGAAGCAACGATGGTAGCTGTTGATGGAAGTCTGAAGCCCGTTGGATACGTTTCCCATGACAAGCCTAGTCTCTGAACCATATAGAAGCACTGACGACACTGGTGTTGAAAATCCGAATTTTGTTCTTTATGCTGAATGCAGCGGATTCTCACAGATTTCAAGGTAATGAATTCCTGTCTTGCTTTTCTAATTCTGCGTTTGATATCCCATCAGTGCAGCCTGTAATTGAGACGGTACTGCCTAGATAAGTGGAAAAAAAATCTCGTTCATATTTGTTCTATTATAAGTGGTGGTTGCCAGTTGTTGCTTGATTAGTTATCTTCATCACCTTCGTCTTCTGCAAGTTCACTTGAAGTGCTGTCTTCTCTTTTCTTCTGTCACCTTGTTGGTATTCGCCTGCAAGTTTTTGAATTTGTGTGATTTAAAGAATTTTTTTGATTTTTGATTACAGCTTGATGCCACACCGTATTTTTTGGTACAGGTAATGAATTTTCAGCATGTGATATTGGTAGCCCAAATTTTGCAGGCCGGCCATAGATATCAGTTGTGCGTCGGCAGGGGATCGAACCCTGGACCACGTGCATGGTCGGCGAGAGTCCTAACCACTGTGCTACCAACGCACAAATAAGGGTGGCCCGTTACTCGGCCAGCCACAGGCAGGATAAAAGAAATAAAACAGCTTGAACTTACCAAACTCTATTACTATAAGACTGACTGGAGTATTTCTGTGCAAGCTGTCAATATTAGCAGCCCCCTGGCTGAAAGACTGTGATTTTATTTCGATGAGCTAAACTGTACATCAAGACAAAGAAAATAAGTGATGACTGTTAAAACACAGTGCATTTTAACCCATACATTCATGATTTCGACGAAACTGTGAGTACTTCGCATGAAAAACTTCTCACCATATACTAGGGCATGGTGTGAATGACTTCCAAAATGTCACATCTCGGAACCCAGTGATCCTTTTTTGATGATCAGAGAGAAACTACTTTTTCTCATGGCTGAAGACTTATATTGTAAGTGATAACCAAAGGGGAACTGGAAAATATGTAGTACTGTGATCATGACACAGTATTTAAATGGCCATTTCTTTATACAATGTTGGGAAGAGATTAGATCAAATTTTAGCCACGTTATCATTATTTTGACAAATTCATTTAATTAAGGTTGGGGAAAAATAAACCGGAATAGCATCTAAAAATTATGATTACACAAAGTGTAATTGAAGAGAAATATAACAGTATTATACTAAAAAACAGATTTGGTCATATCGATCTCCTTCCTTAATGTAGCAGTCAACACTAACCGATATTCCAGCACCACGTAGGGTAGGGTCGTGGGTGCGTAGTGATGACAAGTTGCAAAATAGGACAGAATGTCTGTTCAGTACTCCTTGATTTTTAATAGTTCTCTAACTATCATCGATCAGTGATCCAGCTTGGAACAAATCAAATCCCTACAAACTAATTCTCGAGAATTTTTTTTGATTGGGCATTCTTAAAGAACACCAAACATAAGTGAGGGGAAATATAAATATATATCAGAACTACCTGTAAATAATGTTTCAAATCCTTCTGAATCTGGTTGAAAGGTAAATACTTCTCCGTGTGAATTACACGCAACAGCCCATTCATATTTAGTTGGCATAAATCGTATAGCTGTAACAGGCATACCCAATGTCCATTTAGACGGTCTAGGCAATACACGCTGTATACCATCAGATGTTTGAATCACCTGGTTTAATGTTTTTTAGAAAAGATGTGAATGAAATATGTACAATAGGATATAAACTTATATAGAATATGCATAAGTATTTAAAATATTTAGGTAAAACAGTCCCAGTACCAAAAATCTACTTTGTTAGTAGATGAATCATGATACTGGAAAATAATAAAAGACAACGTTCAACAGTAATCACAACAGTAGTCTGAACGGCTGTTGAAAGGTTTAAGGAAAAAACTAAAACTAAAACCAAATCCGTACAAACCAATACTTGAATATCAATGAGATGCTCACTGGCGACTGGCACAATTCAGGTAGGTAGTTACCTGAGGTTCCAGTGGGAAGTCGTGACCAGTAGGGTGCAGCCGGTCGGGTGTGAGGACAAATACTCGCCGAAGACATTGGCTAGCGGTTGCGCTATATCGTGAATTGACAGAAGTTAGAATTCATGGGCCATTGGATCGGGTCCCAGTGGCTTAATGGTATACGAGCTCGCCTTGTAACCAGAAGGTCCTGGGTTCGAACCCCGGTGGGCGCGTACTGCTGAAGAGCCCCAAACTAGGACGAAACTGCTGTCCAGTACTCCCAATTGGTTTTCCAATGGTTCTCTAACCAATGTCAGCTCATGATGAAATCCTGTAACCAATCAACCAAATCCCTACAAACCAATACTTAAAACTAAATGTGCTAACTGAACATTATATACTACGTACCACTTAACATCGCTATCCATATTGAGCCGATATAAACACCAGATAGTTATTCCGCCCATTTAGGACTGAACGCATTTTTGCTATGTCATGAAATCAGCTCATTGGTGGTTCACTGAGAGCATACTCACCAACCACGCACGTGGTTTAAGCTTCGAAAGCCGGCCAAGGCAGTCCTATAGCTCACTTAGCCAGTAGTAAGCCTAGAATAAAGGGAAGGTTGAGAGTGAGGCCAACTACCCCATCCTACAAAAACATCACCGAAGCTACTGAAATGTCAAGGCTTCAAGCCTAAAAGCGAATGTTCCACTCGTAATGAAGAGAATTATTTTATATCAGTGCCACTATCGTCCGCCGTCATATTTCATTACCACTCTTCACATTCGACTATACAGACTTTATCAATCAGTACTTCTCTGCAGAATCATAAGAGAATGGATCTGGAAGCTATTCACTTATGAAAAATGAAGAGATGTTCAATAGTGAAAAGTTGATTTATTTGCAAGCAGATTTTTTTATCACCAAATCGATATCAAATAAGTAACACAGAATTATGAGGAACGATGAACAGTTGTTTACCCATACACTAAAACACTCTTACATAGTAAACTGAAGACTCTGTCTTGATGTACATAGATGGTGATATCGATTTGAAATCCACTTTTAAATAGATATGACAAATTTTCTTCGAGAAGCTGAAAATGTTTTGCGATACTTAGGTGAAATGAGAAAAAATCTATTCTTTAGCAAAATTTGATTTTGATCATGCAATATCCGAAACTCCACCCCGTAAAAGGCAAACACCGCTGCTACTGAAACTTCACAGCTCAAGCTCGGAGTCATATGTTCCACTCAGAGCGTTAAATGATGAATAGTATAGTAACTGTAGTATGTGATTACTTTATGTCTCAACAACAGGTGCTAACTGAATGACATACTCTTACAAAATCCGTAAGTCTTCACTTCTTCCAAACTGTCATAGTTACACTGAATAGTGATTGCTATAGTAAACACAGAAATCAGAAAAGTGCTTGATGTCTAAAGTGGATTATATATATTTATCTTACAGTTAAGTGTTCTTAGACGGTTAAAACAGCAACAACAACAACAAAAATCAAATTTCCGGGTAACAAAAGTGAGCATTTTATTTCAAGACTTCTCAGCATATTCATTCACTTTTGTATAACACGTGAATGAAGTTCATTCTTGAGTAAAAAGTAACACTAAAAATATTCTCGTCTTGAAGAGACTTATCACTATTGGAACTTTAAGAAATGTTTAACACTAAAAAATTATAAATTATTTAAATTAATCCCAGCGTGTTAAGAAAATCAAAACAAGATTTTTACTTTAAAATAACAAAAACAGGCTTACTCGAATACTTGTATTTGCAGAACCAGCTAAAATATACTTTCCATCTATACTAAATTGTATTGCATGTATTGCATAATCATCCTGTAAACGACGCCACGGTTGTCTTCTCAGATAATCTCGCATATGTAAACGACAGGCAGTTGTATCGTGTTTGTTCACATCTTCACAGTCACCACTGCTTACAATCAGTTGTTTATTCCTCATATATGTATTTCCGTCTACATCGTCATTGTCATCATCATTTAATGGCTTTTTCAAATTCTCTAAACCAAAACAATTACATTTGGTGACTATATATGTATTATCATAAGTGTTCACTCCTTCATTGATCAATTTATCAATATCATCAACATCGTTACCATCAATAATTAACTCGGCAAACTTGTTTGGACAATCATAATTCGGTGGGAAACAATGCCGAACAAATCGTATACGCGTGAATCGAAAACACGGTGCTATACCATATTCCATAAAAGCACCAGCTGCTAAAGCTGATTCTAAATGTCGTCTGGCCATTTCAATGACACTTGAATGAGATGGGCTATAAAAAGAGAGTTGAGAAGAATAATTGTTTAGTTTATAGAAGTCCCATTAAAAGAAAATTACTAAAGTATTTGGAGAGAAGTAACAAAAATATTAGGAAGTCACTGGGGTTAAACTGGCTTGAGAAATACAAAAGTTGATGAGAATATCACTGGAAAAATTCCTCAAAATAACCTTGGAGACAAATGCACCTGGCATAGATGTGTTATTGATTAGCTGACCGTATGCTACAATGATCCAACGACTTTCAGGAAGGTCAGGAAGTCTGTCTTTTGCTAGAAACAAGTCACATTAATTGAACCTAACAATTTGATTACAAAAGCGATTAAGAGTAATGATTGACGATCACCAGTTAAATTTGCTGTAGTACTTGCTGTTGTACAGAAATCGGAGATAATACCTGGAAACTGATCTACATGATTAATAATTTCAGTATGAATGAAGACAAATAAATAATTCCACAAATGTCACAGTAAACATAACGTAGTGTATAACATTTTCTCTGCTAAATGGAAAGTGAAAACGAAAAACAAAATCGAAAACACCAGATGGAATTCAGGTTAAAGAAGAATGACATTGGGTAGATTCAAACAATTCAACAAGGTCTGCAGTAGAGATATATTAATGGTATTTGACATCCCTCATTTTTATTGACCTAAATGCAGTTTTCTATCTAGTCCATGGGGGAGTTATGCTTGCGTCTGAATAAGAAAGAAACGTTGAAGTCTGTTGTACTATGTTTTCTTATTCAGACTGATGCAGTTGCCTGAAATTTTATGGACAGTCATTATTCAGGGAGAAAACATTCACCTATATAAGACAGGTTTTATTTACTTAATTCGCTTTAAATTCGTCACGGGTATACTGTGCAGACGACTGTTTCGGTCGAGTTATATTTCACAAGCAGTGTGATGTGATCTTTTGATTGGACGCTAGTTAGTAACTAATGTAATGTGTCTAGTCCTTTGTTTGGTGCAGACTGAATTCTTAGAGCGATAATTGCTTCCATCGGAGTTAAATTCTGAATTTATGTATTAGTAGACTGAAAGCTTGTCCTGTTGACCACAGCTAATACATATAGGTTATGTAAACATGATCACTACATGTACGTATACTTTCGTTGACTGAACTGCAAAATTAAACTGAGGGCTCGCTGCTCTCACCTGTGCTCTTTATTGGTTGGTAAATAATATCAGTATCAATGGATTTATTGATTGCTAATAGCTTCGAGTACTAAACTTCCGAAAGTTCTCCAGCATGTTTCCCTTGTTCAAAACATGCACATTAGCCTAATCAATTTCGTGACCGCAGCTGCTGATATGCAGTAGAATAGGTAAATTTACATCTTGTTGTTTAACAGCTAATCGATATTTATGTAAACTGAGCTGAAGACAAGCGCTACTGTTTCTATTGTGGTGTTTTCGGCACTTCTCACAGTTTATTTCCTTTTTATTGCATTACTTTCCTGTTCTTTTTCCTCACATACTTTGACTTCAATAATATGGAGTGGAGAGATTACGTAGGCTTTTAAGCTATTCAGAAACACTTGCTTCGATCTCCAATATATTCCCCACGACATTTCTGTCAGCCTTTATAGAATAGCTTTTAGTTGACAAGAAATTCGTCAAACGCCTATTGACAAAATTGAATCGATAACCATTCTTCCAAAAAACAGAATGTCGATAAATATCTTCCTTTCTCCGTATGGTTGGTACAACACGGTGCCTTTGTTCCTTTGAACAATGTTTGTACACATTTGATTAGATTTTTGCCATTTTAACTGAGTTGTTAACTGGTGTTAGTTGATGACTTCGTTATTAATTGCATGTATAATTTTCAAATTGAGAATTTTTGATTCCAGTGGTTGTTAATATTAGCCAACCGAAATAACCAGGATGTGTTGTGCATAATATGATACCGACATACTGAAAAAAAATGATGTACATTGAAATATAATTACGTTTGAATACAACTGTGCGACCAGGATGACACATATTACCAACCATTTATTTCTTTTGAGCGCTAAACTCAGTCATGTGGATTGCTTGGTTAGCATCCTCGTAACTATCGACTAAACGCCCTTGGTTCTGTCGATCAAGTCATTCACAGTGACACAGATATATCTAGTACCCAGTCTTCGAAATACTCAACATTTTTATTAAAATATATTTCTTTCTTCATTGACAGTCCCCTTTTCTCATTGTAGCAACATTACGCATATGTTCACCTGCTTTTGTATACTATTCTGAAGGGTAACAACTTGAAATGATACATTTGTATGCAGGATTCTACGTTCACTTGTCAGTCAGTTTTTCTATGTAATAATAGTGGCTTTTTAATAACTGGGATATTTTTTTGTGTTTTGAAATTTCAGTAGCGATGGATATGTATTTCCTACGGAGTGGGGCTACTAGGCCTACGCCTGACCTTCTTTCATTACCGGGTTCAAAACCGGCGAATAAAACAAGCAGTGAATATGTGCCACCGTAGACTCTTCATGTGGTGCATACCCATAACTATGTAAGGCGTCGTCCAAATGACAGCATAATACTCTGTAACCAACAACTAGATAAAGTCATTTCATAAAGTACACACAAGAATAATCGCAACTGAATTCTCAGCGTAGAACTTAGCACAGAAATCTAACAGTTCAACTGCCACAACTCATAAAAGCACACATAGGAGCAGAGAAAAAAATAAGAAAATTAGGGTGGAAATGTACAGGAGAGAGAATAGTTACAAAGAGAAACATGAGGATTTAATGCATCTGGGATATCACTAAGTGATAATTCAGCTGCACCACTGGAAACGGTTTTGAGCTGTCACCAACTGTAGTAGAGGAGGTTCGGCATACATGATACGTGTCCTGTCCATCTCAACCGATGTAACTTCACAGCCTCATGGACTGACTTCCCTACCTTGCCTAACACCCAACGCCTGGCCTCACCTATGATTCACTCACTATATTATACCACTTAACACGAGAGATAAAAAGCAGGCCTTCCAGTGGCCATGTCTCACAGTCATTAAGAAGGGCAAAGTGAGCTGCTGTGCAGTGCAAACATTCTTTGATCAGTAGACAGATATCACGTTTCCATTAGAGATGGGACAAATTAGCAAATGACAAACCAGCCTTTTCAATCCGAGCTGAAATTGCGTTGGCAGTCAGTCCATTAGGAGTGATACCACTTCCTAAATAGTCAAAGCGATCAAAACATTCAACCATTTCACACCCTATCCTTAAACTAGCAGTCGGTGCACAGCGATTCTTCACCATCAGCCCACATTTAACAGAGGCGAATCATGCGCCAAACATATTAAGATTTCCACTCAGTGTTTAAAAGACTCAGAATTTTGTCACTATCTTCACGTAAGAGGATAATACGATCTGAATTGTCTAAGCAAATTCTTCCCTGGTAAAATACCAACTCCTAGGTCACCACAGTTGATCAGGGTCACACTCATGGGAAATATTTAAACAATCTTTTGTACATTTTGAAATTAAAAACAACGGACGTTTCCAAATGCTAATAGCATTAAAATAAATATTTTATTGGTTCTCAGGTGTAATTTTCGTACTACTCAAACTCATCATGGGAAGGATTGATCGTACATTCTTATTTGATACTAGCGAACAGCTATTCACAGTTTAAATAGTTTTCCACACACATTCGTGGGGACTTCATTCGTCTGCTTCCACTGTATGAAAAATTCGTGTAGATTACCCATGAAACGGCAACTAGTTTGACTGTTTATTCCTAGAGGTTGATTAAAGTCTATGGGTCGGGTGTGCCTAATGAGCCAATGAGCTAAGTGGTAAGAAAATATAACGCAAAGCAGTGCATCTCCATTTCAAATGTGTTTCCCTGCTAATCTACTCCCAAATTTTGATAACAAAATACAGTACGTAAAGTTGGCATTAAGTAGTATATCTAACCACTCATTAATATTTAGATAAATAAGTCAAGCTAACTAGTTGATACCCAAGGATTTAAATGTCTACTATGATAATTAAATTCAATTTTAATCAGTTATTATCGATCCCTCATCATCATAAAGCATGATGCATCCACTGTCCACAAATATTTCTAACATGCCTAATCTTCCACAACTACTTTGCATAGCTAAACACTGTTACTTATTCCATGATGATCAGTTTTAACGGAATTAGGGAAGTATTGAAAGATAGACATACATATACACAGTGAAACATGGCACAAATCATTGAAATCCATTAAAATTGAACTGAGTTGTGACTGAAAATCATTAACTTTTAAGATCTCGATAAAGCCTATCATAATTATCGAGATCTACAGGCATTAATAAGCTTTATTTAATTGTACTTCCCTTCACATAGCAATTTTCGTGTAGTGTGATATCATTGTGTCTGTCCACTTTGTTTCTGTGTAGTTTTTCAAATAGCGGGAATCGAAGCCGATACACTTCTATGTATCAATGAGCTCTATGCTATTCTATCCGTTTGTAACAATACAGAACCACAATCTTAGGGACTACACATGTCAAGTCATGATGACAAAGAATAAAGTTTCGTAAACCTTGTCTCCAATGACAATATACGCCTAACGTTTCTTTGAATCAACTGGATATACATTCCAAAAGTGTTTTTTTTCGAATTAGTAGATTTTATTATTGAAGATGAGCTAAACCACTTACTGTTAACTTGATTTTTGAAAAATCAATTATTAAGTCTATGAAGTAGCTGAATCTGTAACCTAAGAAAGAAACAAGGAATCCAACAAGATTTCAGCTAAGCTATTCTTATCACAAAGATGACATCCAGATCGAGAGAAATTTCCATCAACCAGCTTATAACACACATAGCAATATAATGCTTCTTTTGCGGATGAACCAGCAACTTTATTTCATACTAGCCTAACAAAATCAATCATACAACACAGTTTTCTGTACTAATGTAACAAAAGACAATCGAAATAGAACAAACTAAAACGTTAATAAAGCCAGTATGCCTGAAACCTATGCGGAACAATACTAATAACCAACCAACTAACTAACTAACGAAGTATAGAAGTGAAGTGGACTGGTAAAATAATTATTTTTATTGAACAAAAAATGCATTTATAGTTGTACATATGTTAGTATAAGCAGCACAAACTATACAAAATTTGCAAAAATATCTAGACAAAAAGAAATGAGTGAAACTCATTTACTCCTTCTAATATTATTATTAGTATTATGTGTAGAGGTAGTAGTAACAGTAGTAATAATTACAGTAGTGGTTAGAAAAAGTAAAGATTATTTACAAAAGAAAGTTTTTAAAAAAAATCCAGGATAAACGACAAGAGACTGTTTCCATGCATTAAACCCATTCTTTGGGATGTGTAAGCACATCGATAAGCGATTGATTTCTAGGATCTTTTGAATTATCATAACAATATGTCCATTGCTAAATGGAAAAATCAAAACATGATATAACGCATGAATGTATGAAAATGACACGAAAGGCTGACGGCCGACAGAAAATAACATTATTTGCAACCATATAGACCAAACTCTTTTAATAGGAAAGTATATCCCCGTTGGTTCACTCTCCTTACACTTTCTTTTGTAATTCAACTACACAAATTGAAATTATTAGAATTCATATAATCTATAGGCTGACTATGTGCATTGTAGTAGAATTTGTAAACCTTGTCATTAGACTTCTCTATTTAGGTTATGGAAGAACAGATTCTCCACATAGCCTTTAAAGGAACAGAATCGAATGATGATTACACATATATCCAGATAGTGCACAAATATGTTGGAGGGAATTTCCACGAACAGTTGCTTCACACAACGTTTTCTTATTTTGTAAGTGTTTAAACACAAAGGTGTATGGTTGTGGCGCGTACTACTGACAAGATTTATCAGTAGTATATAAACAGACTTCATTGGCACAGAAATATCAAATAGTGAAGAGATAGATTTGATGTCACAGAGAAGAAATGAACCAGTATTAAGGCAAAACATGGGAGTCATGATAAGCAGAAAAAGAAACACAGGACGAATGGCAGAAGTAGCATAACACCGAATATCTGTGCAAATGACAATTTTCACGTAAAGTGTACCTAATTTCCCCATATATATATAGATATCAAATTCCAAATAAACATTCGGTTACCCAGTCTCTTCTCACCTACGGTTACACGGTGAGTAAAGTGTATACGCTCGAATATATCGAAGCAGATTTATCCAAAAACTGACATCGCATCAAGTAGGACTGAAAGCAATTACAAAAGACTTTATGGTCGGAAAAAATAAGTACAAAAACTCGACGATAACTTATTTGGTAGGCTTTCTATGTTGTGAGAAAAATGTCATGCGTGAAACCACTAACTTACTGCAAGACGTCAAGTAAACGACCCTTTTTATTATTTCAATCATTAATACATTATTATCACTATTCCTATTGACTTTTTTATCCTAATTTTACATCCATATTCTTTACTGACATTATTGTTGATGTAAATGACCTGTTTATTATTTTCCCCTATACTATGTAAATGTAAAGAGAGGATTATATGGAATATTATACTATATACTGTAAATTCGACATTGTATCAAACATAACCTTTGGAAAAAGTCAATAATATTATTGTTATTAGTTAAACAATTAGTGAAGACCAAAGGGTGCTGAGCAGTTGTCTTATGCCAGTCTAAGACTCATCAGCCCCTGACAGTATTCATTCTGTTAGAGGTCGAACACGAGATCTTGTGCAGAAAGCATTAGTACTCAGTAGTTGGGTCAAAAGAAATACTGTGACATACGGTTTTCCTTTTTTCATAGTCTAAATATATCACACACACGAGTTTCAATCGTAAAGAATAGAAATTACACAGATCTTTTATGATAGTCCTACTAAAAGTCCAAATGGATAAGATGCATGTTAAAACACCGCGTTTCGAACTTGACTTCTATGTTTCAGAGCAAGTAGGCTTTAATTAACTTATCAGCTAACAAAATGACTAAAATGAGATTTGTAAACGACAACAACAGTTGATCGGAACACGTTAGGATTATTTTACGTAATTTCATAACGATTCAGTCTAACTCGGAACTCAAATTTTTAAAAAGACACAGTCCATTAGAATCGAAGGTTGCAGACATCATTTACTAAAGTTACTTTAAAGTGCTTGTGCTGTTCACAGTCACGGCAGAATTAACTAATCATACCGACTATGTAAAACAGTCTTCATATTTGACAATGTACCACACTGCACTGACACCATAAAAACGGTTTAGAGTGAATAAAGAAAACGGTTAGAAGTAATGCTTACAGCAAAAAGTGGCAGTGACATTAAAATACTTTCAATTCTCGCTTCTGGAGTAGCTAAGCCGAATTTTGTGCCACGATCATAAATTAGGTTAAACTCCACATAACGTCCACGCCTAACCAACTGCCACTCACTAAAAAGGGATTAATAATAATAATAAGGGTAAAAAAAACATTAAGTATTATAGTATTATGAGCAATCTTTTGTTTTCAGCGAATAATAATAATAATGAATAATTTCAGATAGAACTTATGATTGCCTCCACGTATTCTAAATTCTTAAATTCTTTTGCGGAAATCTTGTTACCTATATTACAAACTGAACCTATAGACTTCGATCAAGACAGTGAACTTATAAGCTCAAACAGTTATCGCACAGTAATGAATATATGTGTATGAAATTTAACTAAGGGTCATCTGTAACACGGATGTCTTTGTGGTACATTATCTGGGGTAGATGATGCAAATTAGAATCCTCAAGGGGAAAACTTTTTTCCCTTGGGTTGCATGAAACATAATAATGAATAACAAAAATTGCAATACCAAATTTCATTCCCTCAAATTCTAAATTGGCTACTTTTTTCAAGATCATTACAAAAAACCATCTGTGATAAATAATTAAGCATGTAATCTGACTGTTATCGTGATCGAAGCAAAGAATAATTCTGTTATTCTCTGCTTTATCGGTAAGAAAATCAGATTTATCAAAAATAACTGATAGTGGTTTCATAAGAATGTCATGTCACTGTCAATTATTCGAATATCAGTTAATAACCATTCACATTTGCATGCATTTGGTGATAAAGAAGACCTATTGTGTAAGAGCTGACGTCATTTCTTGTTTGCCCACATCTTGGTAGACACAACAGAGTTCGAAGCTATGTTCCACTGACTGAAACATGAGTGGTCAAACAAATGAAACACACTTTAGTCGCATAGTACTACTCTGCATCTACTAATTAACCACGAACACAGAGACAGATAAAATCAATACATCATGTGCTGAAAAAGAACTTAGTTAACGCTTAAACTACAATACATCTCGGAATTCAGCTGGATTATTTATCTCCCAATCCATTCTCCTTATCTATTTTTCAAATGGACAAGTGTATTCTTAACCGATTGACAGCATGAATATGACACTCAACATTTAGCCAAGGGGTTAGAAGTGTATATTTAGATATGAATGTTCAAGTGATATGATCAATCTTCACAGGAGGAGTACAAAAACCTTACGAATATATTTTTTATGCATAAGTCATTGGTGGATACCATCCCTCTCTACGTAATCAGAAAATTTGTCATCATATTGAACTTGCTTTCACAATTCATCACTATTTTTTACTCACAATAATGGCTCTACTCCACACAATGTTAATAGACATATGCCATCACTGTTTCATCCTGATTTATTATAGTAAGTATCAAACAGCAATCCCTCTCCACTAAGATCCAAACTTTTGTTTCAGCTTCAACCGAGTCTTTTTCACAATAAGATCAATCTTATCAAAACTACAATTAGAATTATGTATGCATGTGGATCGTTAGACTGCAAAAACCACGTTGCATAAATTAATGATATGCTTTGGGTAGAATGAAATATTTTACCTCTTTTCGAAACTAGATTGTACGCTATGAATGCATCTACAGTTATGAGAATTATTTTGAACTAATTGATTCCAGCTGTATTATATACATCAATCAAAAAGCCTACCTACATTAACACGATGTAGGCTAAGAATCAGAATTCAAATTCATTGGTGCCATATTTTCGTCTAGGTCAACTTCTCAACGTTTCTCAATTAAACCTAATCGATTTAACATTGTTTATTGAAGGAAAAAATCACTAAATATGCCTAAGATATGTCACAACAAACTCATCCTATTTGGGTTGACATATTCATTTACTGATTTGTCTTTCTTGTCTGACAACACTCTACAACCGGCCAAATACATTGGAACAAAACTAAAAATATGTCAATGATCAAATAGCAGAATGTAAAACATAAGTTATCATGATTTATAGTCATTCGGCACACATGATGATAAGTTGATAGTTGCCAATATGCAAAAATCTAATATACTATGGAGTTAGCATAATCAATAATGAAACTCAACATGCAACGTAGGCTAGGTCAGTCAGTATTACAACCTGGTTATCCAGATTTCTGAAGATGAGACGGAGAGTTAGGACCGGCGCTTAAACAACTTAGCCATAGTTTCACTAAGGGTACAAGTACTTCAGTCACTGAATAAAAAAGCTCCTTATCATTTCCTTTATACTAGCAACCACCCCTGGTAAGTTACATGTGATAGAGGAAATAGGCAAACTTTCGCTCTTCACTAATAATATATGCCCCATGCATCATACCACAAAAAAGAAGCCTCAACAAATCAAAATATGACATGCAGTAAATATTAATGTACAACAAAAGTAAATTTACCGTTCCAAGTCAGTATACTTCAAGTTTTTTCGTTTTTCAACAATAGGCAAATAGGCTGGAATTATAGCCTCAGCACACGACTATTAAAAGAAATAATGATGATAATAATAAACTAGTCTATTGAAAATAAATAAATAAATAAAACCTTAAGCAAGATTTTACAATCACTTTTAACAAAAACTAACGTCAACTGCACAAAAAATAATCAAGGCAAATCCCGTCAACAGTAACGTCTCAGTGGAGAATTTCATTAAGGGTTGTAAGTACTTTATCCCAAAGTTATTGAATAAAAGTCTGTTGATCCACGTTTTCTTAATTCTAGCAATTTATTAAAAAAAACTATTTAAAAAAACTATCCAACGTCACTAATGCACATCAGCTTTCTTTTAATAGTTAGATATTGCCTGAGGAAAAAGTAATAATTGATTCTATAATTATGTGTCTATTGAGAAACCTTAGAGTCTAAGGCTTAATTTCGAACAAAGCTGTGAGATTGCATTAAGAATGAAACAGCTGTGTAATGCTTTCTCTGTCTGATAAGCCTTATTGAAGACAAAAATTGCCTTGAAATCAGTCTGTTTCTTACAACTCTTTTAAATGAATTACTAGGCACTTGATCAATCAAAACTAGGCTAATTATCAAAAGCCTTATGACTGATAATATAAGCTAAAGCGATAATCACAGCTACAACTATATTTGAGACTATTAAAAAAAAGTGATACAATTTATCACTACTTACTTAACATTATTGATTATAATACATGCACATCAAGGTTATCAGTGTATCACACTGTGAAGCGTTTAAGAAAGCATTAAAATCAATAAATACACAGCATATACTATCTACGATTCCCAGTCGTCATCATACTTCTGGTTTGATTTCTTTTCTTAAGAAACAAATAAGACTTTTATCACCATGTGTATCAAACACTGAGACATACACAAACGTGTGCCACATATTTTTCGTTTGATTTTTGCAGGACTCCACCTCTCTTTTAAAAGCCAATGATAGATGTTTTTCCATATGCTAGGATATGGGTGATACTTATAGTGTAAGGACTGATCATACTAACCGGCTGCTTAAACTCGAGTAGGTGGAACCAGATTAGAACCCTGAACCCATTGAGAGAAAGTCAAGTGCTTAGGCCAATGAACCAATGGATGGCGGAGGTGAATTTAAGTCGGGCATTACACTCATTTAAAATACCCACCAGTAGGATACACCTGAATGGCTACAACATACAGCTATGATACGAAAACAAAACAACCGCTTTTATATCAATAGGTATTAAGTCCTACTAAATATTTAATCCATTCACTAGTTTACACGACTATTAATATATCCATTGACCGATGCAGTTTGTTCCAAACCAGTTACAACAAATCCTAAGCAATATAAGTAATGTTAAGACATAAATTATATGCAATAATCCCAGCGTAATTTTAAAAAAGTCGAAATAAGATTTTTCTGAACGTTTCGCTGTGTAAGCCACAGCCCTATGAACCTCCGTGATCTTTATTAAAATATTATCATGTTTATCACATGTGAATTGACGTCTTTTCCATTGGAAAAGTAATATACACTCACACACATTCATACAGACAAATGCGCACAATGACAATTTGATATTAGTCACTACAAATATATGATGACTGCTTACATATTGCTTTTGTACAAATTTCTATAGACAAGTGACTTTCAAATGAACTGACTTCAATATATGTAATTTCTGACTATATATTTTGATGATTAATAAAATCCGAATAATTCTGCTGGAGATCATGTGGCTTACACAGTGAAACATTCAGAAAAATCTTGTTTTGATGTTTTCTTAAACACGCTGGGATTATTTTAAATGATTTATAATGATTCAATCTGACTCGGCGCTCAAATTATTCCAGGAAATTCATAACATCTGCGGTCTGGAAACCTATAATGTTAAGACAGTTTACATGAAGAATCGAAATCAGGTAGAGAACCATTAGAAATCACCAAGAGAGGCACCACACAAATTCTCATAGTTTGTGTCAAAGTCAGAATACTGATCGGAGGCCCAGATTGAAGCAATCTTAAGAGATCACTTTGAGCTTCTAACGTGGATTCTGATTCACAAAGCAGTGAAGCAGCTTCCGGAGCTACACCCCCATGGTTCCCGGAGATCGAAACAGGTCCATACGCTATACGATTCTTTGGGACTCCGTGTTCCATGTACACTATAGTTTGGGAATCAGGGTCTTCCACCTCCTTTAGGTAAACCTGCATGTCCACCAGTCCGGTTGTAAGCGCCAGATATGTGCAATCGCCGTTTCACTTGTGCAAGGAACACCCTCACCACATGAAGATAGTAAATAGGACTTATCTGGCAGAATCTGCGAACGCATGGTCACGTGAGAGCATTTCGAGAGGAGGACCAAAGTTTACGCACCCTCAGCCGTAGCAGGTCGTTTATGGAGGCCGATAAAAATCAACGGGCACTGAAGTGTCACCTTACAAATACTATTCAGGATCAAGTCTATGACAGTCATTTGCTTGTCGCCAGCACATTAGTATTCACTCAGTTCTGTCATATTGTAATACAACTTAATAACTATTATTATCTACCAATATATTTAAAACAATTTAGGAAATTAAATGTCAATAAAATATCAATCATGCATTTTTAAATAAAACCTACTTTTACAAAACTGAATACTTTCTCTTGTGATGTGTCTTCTAAATCATCGAAAAATATCCCACCAACACCACGCGTCTCACCTTCAAACATAGATGTATGTGATGAAAATAATAAGTAATAATAAAAGATGAGTGAACAGAAGAAATATTTCGACCAATGTGTAGCAAAAAATGTTACAATGAGTGCTAATACAGCTAAAGAAACTATGGTTTACACGGTGAAAAGACTCAAAAAATCTTTTATTTCGTTGCCTTCTCGTCAGCTGCTTACAGGGTAAAGACATTATTAACTGTATCTACAAAAACAATTTTAACATACTTGCACAAAGTTCATTTTAAACAAACATCAATCGATGAATATACGCATACACTAATAATATATACATATATATGTAATATTAAACACTATTCCGAACAATTATAATCATACACAATGGAAACTTTTCAGCATTTCGCATTCGGGTGAGAGATGAAAAACATACATGTAAATTTGTGTATACAGCTGGAGTTAACATGAGAAGGATATCTATCGATTTTTGATTGCACCAAAGAGCAAACTGTTCAATAGACGGGAACGAGCTTAGCTGCATGATAGGCTATGGCTAGTGATGTTGATCATCGCTGCAATGTTTTCACCTTTATAATCAAGCTGAAAGTAGATTGGCTTTTTTCCCACTGTGATTTGTTTTATATTTGTGACTTCAGATCTTCCATACTTGTTGATGAACCTTTGAGGGTACCCATTGCTCTTCAATATCTTCAAGAACATCAAATTCTTTCTCTAATTTCTCTATAGAACATATTCTCCTCGCTCTATAGTACAGAGTCTTGACTAGACCGTGTTTAGAGCTATTTGAACAAAAGCTATTAAAATGTAAGTATTGTCCTTTCCATGTGGGCTTTCGATAAATTGACTTTTGAAGACTACCGTCTTCTAGGCGTTCCATGGCAATGTATGAAATTTCAAAAAATCTTGTTTTGATTTTCTAAACACACTGGGATTATTTTAAATAATTTTATAGGATCTAAGGCCGACAGAAGACGAACTATGCAGTCCACCCTGATAACTTTTGATGACTTACCCACAAAGAAATAATTACGTCAATCTGTCAGAGCTAACAGTATAAACCATATAGCTAGACCACCACTTAAAATGTGTACAATTATTAGTGGAATAGAATTTGGATAAAATTATTCCAATGTATATCAATAGCCTAAAAACATGTCTTATAGCGTTAGCAGTCTGTTGGTTGATTGACTGATGGCGGCCTGCTTAAATCACTGAACTACCAGAATTTCCACCCACCAAATGCTTAAACTCTTCTGCATTTCTCATTGTTTTAATCATACAATTATATCAAATGATCACTACATGAACTCGCACATATATTTAATTCCCGACCGAAAGCTGCTACCTTGACGTGGTGGTCGGGCTTGAACACCGCAATGACCCAACAAGCTATACTGGCTGGAACTTATGTTCCTGCAGGTCTTACCATGCCAGAAAGGTTGTTTGGATAGCGGTTAGACTAAAAGCAGTTACCCAATCCAATCCTATGACTTCAAACAAATCACAAAATATCATGCCGGATCGGTCGGGGCCCGGATTAACAACGACCGCGCTTTCTGCTGCCGTGTCACAGGGCAGAAGTGATAAATACGCTACTGAGACACACCAAATAAAAAACAACAAACAAAAACAGGCCGTGTGTGACCGGCCTCAAGCAGTTGTCCCCTGGGCTCTGCGGTCACGCAACCAACTTCCACGGTGTGGGCAGCCGGGAAGTAACAATCGCCCTCACAACCCGAAGAGCACGCGAAACCTCTCTATTCCTCACTCACCTTTGTCTTCATCTTCATCTCTATTATCTTACCTTCCTTCTACTAATGCAACTCCTCTACTTAATGGCCCTTCACTTCCTCTTCACTCTGTGTGCACTGATAACGATGGAAGCCAAAAAGCCACCATCGATAGTCTCCTAAAGCCACGTCACCAATTTCATATAGGGGCATTTAATGTTAGGACACTTTGCCAAATAGGACAACAGGCATCACTAGCCAAGACTCTGGCATCCCGAGCCATTGATGTATGTTGTGTTTCAGAAACACGCATACAGGACCCAAGTGTGGTTATTCACCTAACCCCACCTGGCCAACAGGATGAATCTGCAAAATTCACCTTGAGGGTGTCAGGAGATGAGACGGCTAGCTCACGAGGATTAGCTGGTGTTGGGATAGCTCTGAGTACTAGGGCAGAAAAGACATTACTTGACTGGATCCCGGTAGATAGCCGAATGTGTGCTGTCCGTCTGAACGGATCAGTGAAAAGGAGAAAGGACTGCACTACTCGCCGATGCCTTTTCGTAATCTCCGCCTACGCCCCCACTGACTGCAGTTCGGATGAAACGAAGGATGAGTTCTACCAAAAGCTGTCTAGTTTGCTGCGAAAGGCTAAACGCTCAGATATAGTCGTTTTAGCTGGTGACTTTAATGCTCAAGTGGGGAAATTGTGTCAATCTGAGAAGAATGTCGGTGGCACATACGGAATTCCGTGCCAGCGAACCGACAACGGTGACCGTCTCCTACAGTTCTGTTCAGATAATCACTTGTTTCTTGTAAGCACTAACTTCAAACACAAGGAGAGACACTGTCTTACCTGGCGACCTCCATCATCAAACCAACGCTGGACACAAATAGACCACATAGCAATAAGCTATCGTTGGCGTGGGTCGGTAGGGGATTGTCGCTCCTTCTGGAACACGTGTGTAGATACCGATCACGCACTGGTCCGCGCTCGTGTGTGCTTACGACTGAACGGACGTAGGAAACAGCTGGCGGTAAACCCATCACGTCCCCAGCTCGATCAGGAAACTAAGTCCCTATTTGAGGAAGAACTAGCTAAACACATATCTGAGTTTGACAGCTGCGCTCATCCTGAAGAAACCTGGAAAAATATTCAGTCAGCCATAGATACAGCTGTAAAAGCTGTGAATAAGGTAAATCCAAAGGTGAGTAAAAGCCATTGGATTTCGACTGCCTCATCCGAACTGATAGATGCTAGAAGACTTATTCCGGCGAGCTCCGAATTCAATGAGGAGCGAAAGCTGCACAAAAGGAAACTTACGAAAAGTCTCCGCAAGGACCGTGAACAGTGGTGGTTGGCAAAGGCGAAAGAGATGGAAAAAGCATCGGCGATAGGCAACACTAGGCAACTCTTTAGACTCATCAGGGAAACGGGTGGGAGAAAGCAAATCATAAGTGAGACTATTTGTGAGAAAAATGGCTCCTTAATTAGCTCTCACGATAGACGCCTCGAACGCTGGAAAGAACACTTCGAGGAACAGTTTAACTTGCCTACAGCCACACTGAGCCTCCCCGCCATCCAGCACACATCCGAATGGGACATAGACACTGGCCCACCGTCTGTAAGTGAGGTCACCAAAGCTATCTGTAGTTTGAAACGAGGCAAAGCGGCAGGACCCGACGGAATTATTCCGGAGGTGTTTAAATATGGGGGTGACATGCTAGTATATAGTTTAACTAAGGTACTAGGTAACGTCTGGGAATCAGAGACGGTTCCATCAGACTGGGGTAAGTCACTTATCATACCAGTATTCAAGAAGGGAGATAAGTCCTCATGTGATAATCATAGAGGAATCAGCCTAACGAACATAGTCTCTAAAATCCTAGGCTCAGTAATCATGAACAGACTAAGCCGAACTCGGGAGGAACAAACGAGGGAAAATCAAGCGGGCTTTAGGCCAGGTAGAGGGTGCATAGATCATATCTTCACTCTCCGACAGATCCTAGAACATAGGCACACTTTTAGGCGTCCAACAATTGCCATATTTCTTGACTTGAAGGCGGCCTTCGACTCCGTGGATCGAGAGGTTCTATGGCAATGTTTGACTATGAAGGGAGTGCCAAGAAAGTACATTGCACTAATCAAGGCACTCTACTCAAACTCACGTAGCTGTGTAAGGGCTTATGGGGAATTGTCATCTGAATTGATAACAACCAGTGGTGTCCGTCAAGGATGTCCACTTTCCCCATTTCTGTTTAACTTCATCATAGATATGCTAATGGAAGTATCCTTAACCGAACGTAACGACTTAGGAATCGACTTGTTACCAGGGAATAGTCTTATAGACTTAGAATACGCAGACGACATAGTCCTGTTAGGGGAGGACGCTGACAAAATGCAGAGTCTTCTGAACACCTTGAGCAGCAATCTTCGTATGTTTGGCATGCGATTCGCCCCTGTGAAATGTAAGATGCTGCTACAGGACTGGACTACGTCAACTCCAAGCTTAGTGATAGGGAGTGAAGTGATAGAACATGTTGACCACTTCACCTATTTAGGAAGTTGCATCAGCACCAACGGATTGATTGGTGACGAAATCACAGCACGGATCCAGAAAGCTCGGGCTGCTTTCGCTAACTTACACCGTCTCTGGCGTAGGCGTGACATCCGACTGTCAACCAAGGGACGTGTATACTGCTCAGCAGTTCGCTCCGTCCTTCTCTATGGCGGTGAGACGTGGCCATTGAGAGCGGAAGACATGAAGAGATTGTCTGTTTTTGACCACAGATGTTTACGATCTCTTTCTCGCGTTAGGTGGTATAATAAGGTAAGTAATGTTAACGTTAGGCGTAGAGTGTTGGGCAAAGAGGGAAAATCACTCGAAGAGGCTATAAAGTTACATAGATTGAGATGGTTAGGTCACGTGCTGCGCATGCCTAACCATCGTCTCCCCCGACGGGCATTACTAGCTGATATAGGTGCAGGTTGGAAAAGAGTAAGTGGTGGCCAAACAAAAACATGGCATCAGTCCATGAAATCCTTGACAGTTAAACTCAGTCAGGTAGGGAGATGCAGACTTCCGGGTTGGGGCCCGCTCTCGGGACTCTAAGAATCAATGGCTGGAGACAATAGGTGACATGGCTCAAAATCGTTGTCAATGGCGCAGATGTATTCAGTCTCTTTAACCTTCATATTCCTTTCTACCATTACTCATTCTGTTTCACTCTTATACTTGTCAAAACTCTATTGATTCCCTGCACTCATCTTCTTGTCTTCCTTGTGTGCTATTTGGAACGTGGCAACTCGAACTGCTGCACTTCGGTGCCAAGTTCTATGTTGAATCCAGACAGACAGACATATATTTAATTAGCTTTCAGCATATTGCTGCGCATTATGGGTAAATTTTATTTTGATACAGTCTCACAGTGTTATACAGTAATATTTACTGATGACGTTTCGAGCACAATTTATTGCTCATAGTCATATCAAGGTAATCACACGACTTCCTAAATTCATTTATATAGTTCCATTGTTTTTCACTTGATTTTTACCTGATTTGATTGGTAGTATTATTTTCCATATTTCAGGTATGAGTGATGATTCATTCCTATTGCATGTGTTAGGTGTAGATTCGATGAACAAAGATTCAGTAATCAACCTCTCTCTCCACCTACCTAGATTACTTTTTAGAATTTTAACCCTCTCCCACCCTATTGTGTGGTTGTGTGTTAATGCATGCATTGCGATTGCCGAGCTTTTTTCTAAATTACTTATCTTCTCTGGGTCAACCATTCTTACCTTAGCTAAATTCTTATGTTCTGACAATCTGACTACCCCTGACCTACGAGTTTGACCTATGTAGTTGACCTCACAGTCATTGCAGGGTATTTTGTAAATTATATTATTTTGTCTAATTGGGTCCACTGGGTCCTTCAACCTAACTAAATGACATACAACTAGATAATGATGAAACAATGGTTAGTTTTGATATAACCAGTCTTTACACTGATATACCAGTCAATATGGCCTTAGAAGCAGTTAAAAAAGAACTAACTGCGGATACTGAACTCAATCATAGGACAAAGCTGTTCATTGAGGAAATTATTTTAGGGATTCAGCTATGCCTCACATCTACTATATTTAAATTCCAAGGCAAAATATATAGACAAACTGAAGGTGTAGCAATGGGATCACCAATATCCCCTATCGTGGCAGATATATTTATGGATAGCTGGGAAAATATGGCACTTAATACATTTAATCCTACTCCAAAAATATGGTGGAAATATGTGGATGACACTTTCACAGTGTTAAAAACAGAACATATCTCTAGCTTCTTGACACACATAAACTCACTAGTGGAGGGAATAAAATTCACATTTGAAACCGAAAACGAGCAAGGAGAATTAGCTATGTTAGATTGTAAAATAAAACGAATAGAAGAAGGCAAACTACACACTAGTGTTTATAGAAAACCAACGCATTCTAATAGATATTTAGACTTTAATTCATCTCATCCTTTAACTGTTAAGGCAGGCTTAGTTAAGTGTTTAACAAACCGAGCAATAGCACTAAGTAGCACAAAAAAAGACCTTAATGATGAAATAAAACAGATAGAAGAGGCGTTGGTTTTAAATAACTATCCTCTAAAATTCATTAGGAAGATTGAAAAACGCCAAAAGAAAAATAAAAAGAATTGTGAAACTAGTAGTAATAAAATAAATAAGAGAGAATATAAGTCATCTACAGTTATACCATATAAAGAAGGGACATCTGAGACCCTACGTAGGATTCTAAATAAAGCAGGAATTAGGGTGGCATTTAAATCTACAAACTCACTCAGGGACAAGCTCTGTAGGTTAAAGGACCCAGTGGACCCAATTAGACAAAATAATATAATTTACAAAATACCCTGCAATGACTGTGAGGTCAACTACATAGGTCAAACTAGTAGGTCAGGGGTAGTCAGATTGTCAGAACATAAGAATTTAGCTAAGGTAAGAATGGTTGACCCAGAGAAGATAAGTAATTTAGAAAAAAGCTCGGCAATCGCAATGCATGCATTAACACACAACCACACAATAGGGTGGGAGAGGGTTAAAATTCTAAAAAGTAATCTAGGTAGGTGGAGAGAGAGGTTGATTACTGAATCTTTGTTCATCGAATCTACACCCAACACATGCAATAGGAATGAATCATCACTCATACCTGAAATATGGAAAATAATACTACCAATCAAATCAAGTAAAAATCAAGTGAAAAACAATGGAACTATATAAATGAATTTAGGAAGTCGTGTGATTACCTTGATATGACTATGAGCAATAAATTGTGCTCGAAACGTCATCAGTAAATATTACTGTATAACACTGTGAGACTGTATCAAAATAAAATTTACCCATAATGGAATTACACTCTACCACAGTGCCCAAGTTTTATTCTTATATCAAATTGCTGCGCAATTCTTGAGAAAAATGGAGAAAATATGTACAGAATTGGTTCTCTCTCCATATGCAACAAACACTCAGATGTCATGTGATATACTTCAGATTATTACTTTACATGTAAATCGTGTATAATGTGGAAATATTTTGGAACCAAATAAGCTGAAATTTTCTGTACTGTGTGTTTACATATTGTTTAAAATAAAGGTTTATCATTACTTATTCAATTCAATTTGGACTTTCCAGTAGATTAATTGGACTGAAATGCTCGGCCTCAGGTTGAAATGTCAGCCCCTCGTACAAATGCTTCGAAAATATCTGATTATTCAACTTGAAGTAAATTGGTGGACGGTGACTAGCAGTTAAATAATCAGACATCGTCGAAGCATTTGTACGAGGGGCCAACATTTCACCCTGAGACCGAGCATTTCAGTCCGATCAATCAACGGGAAAGTTCAAATTGAATTAAATAGTTACTGATACCCAAGTGGTCTAGTGGATAATGCTTTGGCGTTTGAAACTACAGATACTGGGTTTGAGTCTCAGTGGGGACACCATCACTCACTGGAGAGTACAGGCACATCCAGATGACAAGCCCTAAATAGGACGAAATGCGCATCCTGGATTCCACTGCTAATCACCATCCATCAATTTAATTTATCATTGTTATTAAAACAATATGTAAGTGAACAATACAAGAAAAAGATGCACACACAATACGTTGAATATACAAAAGAAGACATACCTCTATGTTTTAAATAGAAGTAATCATCACACCATTTTTTGAAACGTGGATAAAATGATTCATGATGTTTATCACAGGCTAGTTTAAGTTGTTCATGAAAGTGTTTAGCATCTTCATCGAATAGATAATATGGTGTTAAATCAGCACCACCACCATACCACCATGATTTACGATTATTACCCATATCCACTTCAAAATAACGGAAATTAAAGTGCGTCGTCGGTACATAAGGGTTAAGCTAAAATCATATCAAAGGCATAAATAGTAAACATGCTTGTTGGAAAGGTGAAAGATCATATAAAAGTTGAAAAGTTGATCATTCGCATTGGTAACATTTAAAATACTCTATTAACTGACCCTAGGCTCAGGTGTTAACTAGTTCTTAATTTATTTTCAAATATAAAAGGTATTAAATCAGCAAAAACGGACACATGATAGGACAATAAATTACACTATGAAATGTGAATTTGTTGTGTTGAAATGCAATAAAGTGGGAAAATAAGATGACTGAAGTGTCGTCAATAAAATAAAATAAACACAATGTTAGAATGTGAAAACGGAAAGTGAAATAAGAAAAAAGAAAGTAGAACAATACAGAATAAAGAAGTTTTAAGAACCATATGGTAAAACGAGAGAGAACGTACAAGTTGTTACTGCACACAAAGTCCTGGCTTTATGTTGTGTATCGCTAAAGTTTCCGCTATACAAAGCAAATGAACTCATCTGCCTCTTGGTAAACTTTATCGGACCTTGTAGACGATGTCAAAGGATGCATTCGAAGCTAAATGGTCATTATCTGCTACACTTTGCAATGCAGATGAATCAATTTGTGATTAACAATCATTTACACTGATATTACCGCTACTCACTATCATATTTTAACAAATACACAACAAAACTATTGAAGGTTTTATCAATTTTTTCCTGTGGATAAATTATTTGTCACTGTTAAACAGTCATCATCCTTATCATAGACTGTATGATCGATCAGCTGTTGTCATCCCAGTCTAAATGTTACTAAATTATGTAAGGAGGGGAAGTGCTTTATTTAGGTTACAACTATCTCAGTAAAAGGTAGTTGGACAGCTAATATTTTTATCAAGTGAAAGGTTTGTTTTCAAAGAGAAATTTAGACCCGACCAGAGGGTCAGTTTTGTATCTTACTCAGTAGAGCGTCAGATCAATATCGTGTCAATTTGAGTTTTATCAAGACCCAAGTCCTTATTTTAACCTCAAAAATTACCTGACTATGTCAGCATCAATGTGTCACAACAAAACTAGCTTAAATGGTCTCAGCATAACTACGCAGGACAGATTTTCCATGTACAAGACTAAGAGCCATACACAAAGAGTATGAGGGTTGACGATACTACCCAGTTGGCCAGACTGAAGTAGGTGGACCGGGACTCAAACCCGTGGCCCATCGGTTCACCAAGAACTGAGAGTTATTATATAATAAATGTATTACCGCTTTATTATAAAATAACATATATCTCCTAATATTTCGTCTAAGTAGCTTAAAAAACAATGGAAAAGTCATTTGCTATAAGCTTACAAATCAACGTGTGCGCCTTTAATGTTAGAAGATGTCTGGATTCGATCATTAGGCTCCACTCCACTTCAGTTCAGTTTCGTGTTTTTAGCATCCACCAGTAAGGCGCATTTACGAACGTGAAAAACTTTCAATGAATAGACACATTTAAAATAAATTATACCAACAGACATTAATAACATACTGAGAATAACTGAATGAACTCACAGGATGGATAACTGAACTAATGCCACAAGCGAAAAATTTGCAGTCTGCGTCTGGATCAATATCTTTATGTCTACACCATTTTTAAAGACAAAAACACAAAGTAAGATGGCCAAAAAGTAAATACTCACACAAGATTTCATAATCTATAAGTATTATTTTATTTACTTCTTATCTACACCGGAACACACAATAAGTTGTGATTATAGCATATAACTCATAAGACCATTTTCATTTAATGTTGGAAAATGGAAAATGCCGAAGGTGACTGATGAATGTGATTACATGGTTTAAAACACAAAACCACTTTATCATTCTTTGTCGAACTTTTGAAATACTAACTACATATTTCAACCAACTCTTAGTTTAAGAATATGTATTATAGTGTGAATGGGAAGTTTACATAAATCTAACCGACTGCAATGATGACAGGAATACAAAAAGTGTATTTTAGCATCGACATTTCACTTAACATCTTGTGATTCATTGGCTTAAGCACCCGTTTTCAGACAACAAGTCATGGGCTCAAGTCCTGACCCACCTACTTTAGCCTAGACAACTGAATAATATCATCAGCCCTCATATGATAAGTGTCACTTAGGCTGGTACATGAAAAATCTGTTCCGAATAATTGAGTTCAAATGTCAATCTAGGACAAGTGAGATAATCCAACTAGCAATCAAGGGACGCGTGAAAAGACAACTGCACGCTTTCAATCTTAAGTGACATAATAACAACGCACTACTTTATCAGTTTGTGAAACAGATGGATTTCACTAAACAATATTAAGCAAACACTTGAAAATGGAAGACAAAAACTATTTTACGATACCGTCTCCCCCCTCCACCTTATCAGCCACAGAGGTACACCAATAATGAAAGACTTCATTCATTCCTAATGTTTAAATAGAAAGGTTATTTCAAGGGGAGATGAAAATAACCCAAAGCATAATGACCAATCTTAATTTAGTTCAATTTGCGAAAGAGTAGCACAATTTATTGTAACATGATAAGTTACCTCCAAAGATGACGAAAAACAGACAGCAGTACCCAGTAAAACAGATATGAAACGTCTTCTGTTTATCTCCGGTAAAGGCGTGGCTCATTGGCCTAAATAATGACATTCACACACTCCTCCACCTGTTAAGACCTAAGTGACTAGGTAGAACGTATAGCTCACAGCTTACTACATCAACCTGTACCGAGACGCTGAATCAAATTTTCAATGAAAATCAAGATATTTAAATCTGCTAATACCACATTAGGACTAACCTTGAACGCATTTCCTTCACAGCCATTGGACTGAGGTTCCCACTGATAACACTTATGTTTACACCAGCCTTTTCAAAGACTTCACCGTTTTCTAAAATGCAAGAAATTCCGCCGCCACCCTATAAAGCAATGATGATAGGGATAAAGATTACTGTAAAGAAAAAGGTCATTTTCAAACACAGTGATGAATTTAAAAGTAGAAAAATTCACTCTTTAGATGGTGGAAAATACTAATAGCTCTGCATGTGGATGTCCAGTAAAAAAGAGTCAATGGATTAAACCACTGGGACTTTCATTTCTACATTAAAACAAGGAAAGTCAGTGAAACTCCTAAAAGTGACCGCAGTTTACTGTATTTAAATAACGAAAGGTAAACAGGGACTTATCTGCACTTACTGTAAGAAAAATGAGTTGAACATACACCCCCACAATTATACAATGACTAATTCAGTTTAAATACGAATGACGTAACAAAACACATGTTCACTTGAGGATGTGTAGTACGACATCGAAATAATTGTCAACCAAAAAGATGACTTAGGGAACAAAATTAGCATAAAACCAGGTATCCAACAGTGGTTCATAGACGATGTCTTTTCACTATGCTTGCATACATACATCTTATGTACAGACGGAGGACAAATAACAAGATGGACTACACTAATGCATTTATATAATAAAATACCACTGTGACGATAAGTAAATCTCCAGTTAAATATAATTGTAGGAAACATTTCAGTACAATTACATAAAATACACAATCAAGAAACTTGTGCATGTTCATTACGGCTACTGATCACTTTAATTGTGTCACTGCTAGCCAAAAATATAATTTGTTAGATGGGAGCAGAGAACTCAAACCAACAGGTCCCAACTTTAGAAATAAAAGAGAACTGCAGATTCTCTATATAGAAATAATGGAGAAGATTTGTAGCTCATGAGTGTGATTTTGGCGTTGTGTTCACTCAACTAGATGGTTTAGCTGCAAAGCTTCCATCATCTTACTAGACAATATCTTCACAGCATACTTCAAAGAAAACTACACCAAGATTCTCTACAACCAGATTTGCCTGTTACCATCCAATCAGATAGACAGAACAATCGTGAATGTACCCAGTTGATAGAGCAGATTGATTTCAGCAGCCAGAAGTTACTAAAAGTACTCTCCAATCAGATCTAAGTGACCTAAAAATCTAACAGTTGCTCTATTCGTCTGGAGCTGAGTTTATGGAAAGTTTCTAAAACAAAATGTAGTGAAATTCCACCTTGGAGTGTGCATTTCGTAAAATTAGGTCACTGAAAGTATTTGAAAACACTCCTAAACAAAATTTAGTCCTGTAGCATAACTTAGTGATGTAACTAAAACACAAACCCCACTTGTTGTGTGGTGGGTTAAGTTTGATGGCTCAAATTGGTTCGAGCTTATGACTATCCAGCTGCCCACAATATGAGTTAATTTCTTTCTTTGGCTTGATGACCACTTGCATCTCCATGCACTTGGCGATGAGCCACAGCTGTTTTATTAGTATTAACGATACCACTTGGCCCTCCAAACCTCAGTATGTGGTGAAGGGTTCAAACACATGACCCCGTGGTTTACAATTCAGAGTCTAGACCAGTGAGCCACAACTCCTTTCACTGCTATATGAAAGATATAAAATAGATTACATCTTGTGACACTACACAAACCAACTAGAAAAGCTTGAAAAATCATCAGCCATAGGTCTACACGCCATAGAATCACGCCACAAAGTTGATTTTGACAATACTGAAATAATCCAGAAAAATTTCAGAAATCACGTCCAAGAACGTCTAATATCAGAAGCACTTCATATCAAGTGGAATCCAAAGTGTCTGAATAGGCTGAATGATGGACTAAAACAGAATTTGACCTGGTTACAACACCTCCCTTCCCCACGAAATGACAAAATCAACACGAATGTGATAAGCAATGTCATTATGTAAACACACGCTGCTTTTATAACTTTACACACTTATCAAATCCAACAATCTACACCTGGTTTTGTTGTCTTTACCAGTTGGCCAACTTGACAACGCAAAATTAACCCTATGCTGACAAACAATAATTAAGTTGTTTTATATAAGCTGAGATTTTTTTAAATTCTGGCTTAATCATACTTTTATAAAGTTAATAGCATTAAATAGCGAAAAGTCAGTAAAAGCAATATCATTTTGTTTTTCATTCATTGGGAAATACAAAATATCTTTATTATAATTAATTTCAAAGACTATTAAAAATACTACACCGGCCAATCCACACATTAGATGGCTCAGGGAATTTATGGCCGTCAGCAGACAGGAAAATAACACTAGTCTTAAGAAAGTGTCCAAAACGCAAGCTTTGAGAAAGGTCCACTAAAGCCGATCATCAACAATTTACGACTGCATAAAAGATATGTGGACGACATATTCATTATTTGTGACAACAACAATGACCCCAATCCACTGCTGAAGACATATAACTGTTGCCATCCAGCAATAAAATTCACCCTTCAAATGGAAAACGAATCAAAAATTCCGTTTCCTTATGTGGAACTAACAAGAAGAACTGACGGGAGCCTAAGAAGATCGATCCATAGGAAACCTACTTGGAATGGTCAACTAACAAGCTTCTATAGCTGGGTACCCATTCAACAAAAGCGGAATTTAATTAAATCACTCGCCACCCGCATCTGTAGTCCCGACGTTCTGCAAAACAGAATTAGATATTCTAAGAGAAATTTTCATCCAAAATGGATACCCAATAAGATTCATCGACAAAAATATCAAACCAAGAATTCGGAGAAACGAAACTTTAATTGCGACTAAAAAGAAACTCTACATGAACTTAGATTTCAAGGGAGATTTAGCAAGCGATATTCTCAAGAGAAGGATCGCATCATCTCTGAGAAGAACATTCTTTGCAGCAACGCTAAGAATATATATATTGAAAATTCTAGAAACACAAACACTAACCTTATTTTTCACTGGAATCGGGGAAGTGAAATGACGCAGGCTGGTAAAAGCCTTCGGAAAGCCAGTCAGCCGATGTACCTTCTTTCGATGAAAGCAAAAATAAGGATGGGGACGTGGAATATTCGTACAATGTACGAAACTGGAAAGGCTGCTCAGGTAGCCGCAGAAATGAGGAGATATGGAAAAGAAGTGTTGGGAATCTGCGAGAGCAGATGGAACGGATGCGGAAGGTGCCAACTACCAGCTGGAGAGACAATAATCTACTCCGGTCACCCAGAGGACGATCACGAGCACACCGAGGGAGTAGCCGTCATGATGTCACCAACAGCGGCTAAGGCTCTCATGCATTGGGAACCAATCTCCTCCAGGATAATGACAGCCAGGTTCAACTCAAAAGGAAAGAAGGTTACAATCATTCAATGCTATGCGCCTACAAACGTCTCAGAACATGAGAAGAAGGAGGATTTCTACAGTCAACTACAAACAGTAATGGACAACGTCCCAAAGAGCGATATCAAAATCCTGATGGGTGACATGAATGCGAAACTGGGAAGAGACAATACAGGAAGAGAACTCACCATGAGTCGCGAGGCCCTCGGTGAAATGAACGAAAATGGCGAACTCTTCTCAGACTTCTGCGCCTTCAATGATTTGGTGATTGGTGGCAGTGTGTTCAAACGCAGGGATATACACAAGGCGACCTGGATTTCACCAGATGGACACACCAAAAACCAGATAGACTTCATTTCAATCTCAAGGAAGTGAAGACGGAGCCTACTGGACACAAAATCGAGGAGAGGAGCAGATGTGGGTGCAGACCACTATCTAGTACAAGGGACTTTCAAGGTGAAGCTAAAAGCCTCGAGGATAGCTGGGGATAGGCCACAATGCAAGTTCAACACGCAAGAACTGAAGGGCACAATCACAAAGGACATTTTCACTGCAACTGTCAGAGCAAAGCAGGAAACACTACGTGGCACCACTGAGGAATCATCCGTGGAAGACCATTGGAACTCTCTGAAAGTGATTTTCAACGAAACGTGTTCAACGGTTTTAGGAAGAAAGAAGAGACAAGACAAGGAATGGCTCTCAACGGACACTTGGAAGCTAATAGAGGAGAGGAGAATGGTGAAAGAGAAAATGATTCAATGCAAAGATGGACAAGAGAAAGAGACGCTGAGCTCAACTTACACAGCACTGGACAAAGAAGTGAAGAAGAGTGCCAGGAAGGACAAAAGACAATTCTACGACAACCTGGTTACTGAAGCTGAGAAGGCAGCAGGCAAAAAGGACCTAAGGACACTATATCAGATAACCAAGTCTCTATCCGGGAAGAGATCAACACAATTGAAACCTATAAAAGACAGCCAAGGGAACCCAATTACCAAAGAAGAAAGACAGATTAAACAATGGGCGGACCACTTCAAAGGACTCTTGGACCGACCACCATCTACAACCCGTCCGGAAATACCAACAACAGCACGTACACAACTGCAAGTTGACGCCGATCCTCCAACGAAAGCTGAAGTCTTGAATGCAATCAAGCTTCTGAAAGCTGGACCAGGTGGAATACCCCCTGAAGCACTGAAAGCGGACCCAGAAACGACAGCAGATATGCTGACTCCATTATTGCAAAAAGTCTGGAAGGAGGGAAAAGTGCCTACTGACTGGAGGAAAGGTTACCTCGTGAAACTACCAAAGAAGGGCGACCTAGGACTCTGCAAGAACTGGCGAGGAATCATGCTCCTGTCGACGCCAAGTAAAATCCTGAGTCGCATCATCCTGGAGAGAATAAAGGACGCACTGGATACAGAACTCCGACTAGAACAAGCTGGATTCAGGAAAGGCAAATCATGTTCTGACCAAATTGCAACTCTACGCATCATCATCGAACAAAGCATGGAATGGCAATCAAACCTCTACCTCAACTTTATAGACTTTGAGAAGGCCTTCGACAGCGTTGACCGCGAAGTAATTTGGAAACTACTCGAGTACTACGGCGTACCCCAAATATTCATCAACCTTATTCAACAGCTGTACGACAACGGCACATGTCAAGTGATTCACAACAGAAAACTCAGTGAGGCGTTTGGAGTAAACACAGGAGTCAGCCAAGGGTGCTTATTATCACCAATGATGTTCCTAATTGTGGTGGACTGGATTATGCGTCAGACAGTGGGAAACGAGAAGACAGGGATATCCTTGACCGACGTGAAGAACCTAGAAGACCTGGATTTCGCAGATGACTTATGTCTGATGTCACACAAAATCGAAGACTTACAAGCGAAAACCGACAAACTGGTCGAAGAAGCAGCAAAGACAGGACTCCAGGTGAACATAGACAAGACGGAGGTTATGAAAATTACCAACCAACAACAACAACAGCAGCAACATCCAGCGCCAATCACCATCAACGGGAGGGATTTGAAAGAGGTTACTTCATTCACTTATCTAGGGAGCATTGTCTCAACTACAGGAGGAACAGACGAGGATATCAAATCGAGAATCGGGAAGGCGAGAAACACATTCATCAACCTGAAACCAATCTGGAAATCTTCGTCACTCAGCCTGCATCAACAACAAAATTCGGATTTTCAATACAAACGTCAAGTCAATCAGTTCTTCTATACGGATCAGAAACTTGGCGGGTCACAAAGAATATTTCCAACAGGTTGCAGACATTTATCAACAACTGTCTTCGTTCTATACTGAAGATCAGATGGCCGGAAAGAATCACAAACAAGAAGCTATGGGAACAAACAAAACAAGAACCAATCGCCCAACAAATATGCAGGAGAAAGTGGAGATGGATTGGACACTCGCTGAGGAGGCCGCTGAGTGACATCGCGCGTCAGGCCCTCGAGTGGAACCCGAAAGGGAAGCGGCGAGTGGGACGTCCAAGAGTGACATGGAGGAGATCGTGTGAAGAGGAGCTGAAACAGTATGGACTAACATGGATGCAAGTGAAAAGTACAGCAGAAGACAGAAACAAGTGGAGACGTGCAGTTGAAGCCCTATGTTCCACTAGGAACCCAAGGGAACAATAACATAATATAACTCCACCCAAAACTTATTAATTCTCACCTGTTTAGTTAAAATAATCATAGCCACCTGTGTTTTGTTTGACAAACTTAATCTACACATACCTACAAAATAATCCATATACATTTATATAAAGAAATGAATTCGCCGAAAAGAGACTCTTCGCTGAACTACGTGTTTTGTTTTCACTAATGCCTGGATGGAGATATTTCAAGAATCATAATTTTCTGTCTCGAAATAGTATAAAGTGTGAGCTCACAAAACAAAAATCTATCAGTTGGACTTAACTCTCCATAAATAACAATCAACGCGCAAATCAACACAAACCCAATAATACACAAATATCATTGTCGATACATTAAATTAACGGAGAAAGCCTCACGTTCATACTATAAACACTTCATTCTCTTTGTACTAAGTTACAAAGAGTAAGGTAACAAAGATTAACATATGACAGGAAAGTTAACATTGTTCATTACCTAATAAAGTTAAAGGTGACAAAATCTTCTATAAGAAATATTCACACCAAATGAAAATATCATTATTAAAAAGTGTGTTACAAAATCAAGTAGTCAGACTGTGAAGCATCTCCGTGACTGAATACCAATTAAAGACAGGGTAAAGTAAAACTGAATCAACTTAAGATCAGTCCTTTTACATCTACTTTGAGTTATACACTTTATGTATTTATGTCAACAAACTTGTTACGTAACCCAATCCACTGACAAAATACATTCGGACTCGTTTGCCGAACTAAACGTTGGAACTACTTATTTCGATAACGTTGAGCTTTATACAAATATAATTTTATATGTATATAGTCATTCCGCACCCAATTTTTGTATAACTGCTAAGTCAAATCTTACTCAAAGTCTATAAGAATGAAACACATAAAACCCGAGAAAGTATAGCATAGCTCCTAAAGAGTATATTAGCAACTTTTCACTCAAAATATGGATAAAGTTTGGTTGCAATATGCGAAAATTCCACAGATACTGCATTCACGGTGGAAATTTGGAGACTATCGGCAGCGAAGGCTAGACTTAGATTTTATGTTTACAGGTGCTCGTTAACAAGGCGTACGTGCAACGTCGAAGAAATGAACTCCCTTACAGTGAAATTATCACTCAGTATTGCAGTCAGATGTTACGAATGAACCAATATCACATTCTCTACAATTTTGTGCTGACCGAATTCCTTCAGGTGAGTTTTAAAGGTGAGTTACTCCCTATTGTGATACACTTTGAATAGAATAGAATACATTAAATCTCCAAAACATGAAAAATCGAATGTGACAGAGAAAATATACTAATAATTATTCGACTTACAGCACGACGATCCCATTTATCCACGCGGAATTTAGCCTTCCCATCAATTCTTTCAATTTGTTTACACAAGTGACCCTTTAAACACAAAGTGAAATACACTGCACGCTTTTGAACACAACGAAGTCTTCAAGTTAAATAAATCTCTATTAATAAAATGTTTTAAGAAAAGTCTGAGTGATTACACCGAGATCCCAAGAACAGCACATGAAGCTATCGACTGTTGCTCTGAGCTGTACAGGGTAATATAGATTTTCTATCTACAGTTTACGAGGCAAACGAAGTTATAACCAGAACCAGTATGAAAAATTGCAAGCAGCCAATAGTCATGCACACTGTTAGGGTGTAACGATAAGCCGTAAAGTTGTAAGATGGGTAGCACAAAAAACTGCCTTGTGAAGAAAGGAGTAGTCTGAAATTATTTATGTATATCTTGGATAAATACTGAGAAAAATCTCTACCGATATGTTGAATTGAGGCACTTGTACAAAGTCTTACGCTAATAATTCAATCTAGTTCAGATAAATTATTAGTCATTTTAGTTGTGACAAGAAAAAGACCAAACACCTTAAATTAAACCAAGTATAATACAGATCCCTTCATACAATGGTCAAGTTACATAGGCTATTGGGTTACCCGTTAGAAACAACCAATGCATCAGGGCTTAGATGCCTGGGATTTTTTCTTGGTTAATTCGCTTTCGCCCCTATGTCTATTATAATAAAACGCACTTCAAAAAAGACTATTTTCACACAACAATATAAATGAAATAATAAAATCCTTCTTGCGTGGATTTTATGTCAGTCTTGGCCTGGGTAGAATACATTATTTGGGCACGGACAAGTATATTACACTATGGACACTTATATACCATATATGACACACGGGCTACTTCAGTAACAACTGTGAGCTAAAGCCTTGAGTGACTTTGGATTTAAACAGAATAATGCCTTCAAGCGATTTACTGTTAAACAACATATCTTAACAATGATAGAATGAGAATTTGTTTTCACAACTTAAGACTTATAAAGACCCTGCTATGGAGTATCAAAAGGATAAGTTCCATATAACTAATACCACAACGCTGCATTTGTTCCGTGTAACACTTGACTTTCCTCACAAAAAAATATCAATTACCTAAACAAAAATCGAACTTCATTGTACTAACGGATAGGTCATAGGAAAACTTCACATACATGTGCATCTTTTCAAATTGCAAGATTCCAAAAGAGTAGACATACAAGAGAAGGTAAATTTTATGGAACTACAATGGAGAAAATACTTACTAGGAACTTAGTAGTCAGAATTTCCACTGAGTAGAAATACTGTGAGATATACAGAATTACCTCCCTAATAATCTCCGGCTATTAGATTTTAGCATCATGAAGTCCCGACGTTCTTTGGTGTCAACAATCAGTTAAAACTGCCGTCCTACTCAAGATATGAGGTCAAATCATGTGATTGCTTCCTTTATTTACAGGCCTCCTAGAGCGATTTATCAGCACTAACTGAATTAGTCAAGAATTTACTACCATTTTTAAGTATCGTCAGTTATTTCAGCACTGGGTGGTATTTTTCAGCACTGAAGGGATTATTTCAAATAAAAATGCTATTCCTCAGAACTTATCGCATTGCTGAAGAGTTCAAAACTATATTTAAGCACTACCAGCATTACATACTACGTAGATAAAATATTTATTTACAATATAACGGCTTTATGGAATTATTGTGAGCTTGGGAAGTATTTATCCTTATTACTCATATCAAACACTACAATTAAAACAAACAGTTAACTATTATTTCTTGTCAGACATTCAACACTTTTTAAATCTGATTTATTTACCTGAAGCTCCATACACAACATCTCCATTTTTGTTCGATAGCACTCATCATTAGTCTGTGAAATGTAACAAAAAGTGAAAATTACCTTCAACTGATCTATTGCGGAAACTGGTGAAGACATCCAATCATTGAGGTTTATCTCAGAAAACTTTGTAACTAATGGAACAGTGCTGCAGGAAACAACAAGGGACTTATTTATTATACGTAAGCCATTCATTTTGGTAACAGCCCAACCTCCTCCAGTAACAAAGGCTGATGCACTGTTATGCAAAGAAGTTCAAAACGGAAACCTTAATTACCCTAATACATACGCACAACCCTTGAAACTACGCTGGTTACAAAACCGTCGTAAGGTGTGCATAACTGTTACGTTCCACTCAAATCAGTCGGGTATCATGATACAACATCCAATATGGTTGTTATGGTCCTTGGTGAAAGAGACAGTAGTCTCGACAGCCTATTATTATTCCTGAAAGATTTTTCCATTGTGCATAGATTGATTGAAGTGATTAATAGTATCTGAAACAACCATAGATCACTTTAACGAAAATGGCTACCACACAGTAATTAAAGCAGGATATTTTATCGTTGTGTAATCCGTAATAAAATGATCCTTTTTCGAAGTATTAAATATTGCAAACAAATTGACATGTTAACCCCCTTTATGTATACAGAAAACTGGCATCATTCCCTTTCCGACATCCCACACCTTTTTTGACGAACTCCTTGGACTACATTCCTTCATTGACAACCTATAGTTTGTTGATTTCTAAGGAAGCATGGCACCGATGCCAAGGCAGTTCTCGTTTATATTTCAGAGACTTGGCGCTTTGTTAGAAAGATTCCTAACAGGCAACTGCAGACTTTCATCAACCTCTACCTGCGCTCCATAGTAAAGATCGAATGGCCATAAATTACTAAAAAAAGAACTCTGGCACCGAACCAACCAATAGCCAGTGGCCAAAAATTTCGCCCAAGAAAATGGAAATAGAGGGGCTAATTTTGGGGAGACTAGTGGATGATATACCGCATCAGGCTACCAAGCGGAACCAAAATAAGGAACGACGGGTTGGACGTCTAAGGGTGACATTGAGATCGTGCGAGAACCAAGGGATGTCGGGATAATAAAGATGACCGCAGAAAACAGGATGATATAGGTATATTCTGCTGAAGCTCTACGTTCGACCTGGTACCTAGGGGGATAATAATTATTACCTAGTAGCTAGAGCACAGTACATGCAAGCTCTGCACCCCAAGAAGTCAAACTATGGCAATTCTTCAAGACTCATTGGCATTCCATTGCACTTTAAACGTGACCTGACTTTTACCACGTCTATTACAGACAGAAAAACATGGTTGTGAACAGGAAATTTTGTATTTCTCATATTCCGGTTCTTTCCTTGACTATTTCCCTAATGCCTTCTGAGGTGAATCGGTAAATACATGTTCACTGTTCAAACCTACACAAGATACTACCTTACTAACGTGATAACCAAATCAGTCATTTTTATGGTCCGTCTTCATCCTTCCCTGCATTCTCTATTGGATTGCATCAGGATTACTTGAGGAAAGTCACTCCTGAAGAGAGGTTAACGCAAGAACTATAAATCAGCCGGTGTTCTGATCGATGAAAGAAACGTGTAACAAAGAGGAACAAAGTCTGTCTGCTGTCTGTAGAAGCTCACGCAACGCCAAAATTTTTAAAGTGGTCCTACTAGTCCTAGACCATCCTCACCAAAAGTCGATGAGGAGCGGCCTAAACCACAGCTGACTGCTAAGTCCATTGTAGGCTGAAGTGGAAGACGTTACCTGTACTTAGATTGGAAAACTTCGGATATCCTTTCATATACAGACAACTAAACTAGCCATGGGTTTCATATGCATATACACATATAACATATTTTTTCTAGTAACCTCATACTTCTCACCAGCACATATCAATCTTGTCTTCAGAGTTTTCAGTCAGCTCAGATTATCAGAGAGTATCAGAGGAAGAACAGTCATGTTCGGTATTCAGTCGAGTCGTCTGGTGCATTTCACTACTGAAACCAAGTCAAAGCATTATTCGCCCCAGCTGTAACATCCTGACAACGCCAAAATCATTTGGTTTTCAAAATCTATTCGTTTGAATTTTCTCGAATACATCTGTCAACTGCAGCAAGCTTGCAGTCAAACAGTCTAACTTAAGTCAGTTGATGCTGTCACCCAAAAACCTCAATGGAGTACTTCCAACATCCCATCCAGTTGTCATTTAGGGATACAGTCAGTATTTTTCACAAATTTATAGTGAACCCCCACCTGTTTTGTTGTCTATGTCAGTTTTCTCGACTGCTTGAATAACCTTCTGGTGGGCACTTCAGTACTGTGAGATTCAAATCTCATGGAATGACGGGCGATCATCTTATATTTCTGACATTTATCTGTAGTTTGAAGAACCTCTAAATTATAACTATCCGCACCAGAATTTCGTCAATCATATGACAACACCCGAGAATGACTTTGCAAATGACAACTCCTTCTCAACTAGGAATACAATATCGTGGAGAACAAACCATGGCTACCTGGTAGGCGTGAACATCACTACAACTAGAGCCCAGAAGGTTTCATTCGCTGTACGGAAGGGATTGGTACACAGTGAAGTTTTATATATGGATCACACTTACGTTTATTTATTGTGAGCTTTCCATTCTCTATAGACCATTACTGAATGGCTAATAGCCTTCCGATATCTTCAACAAACCTGATCCCTCTACTTGTTCAGCAGCATATTAACAATGTACACTTTCAAATAAAATTACAAACTCTTTGATTGTGGCTGTCCGTTTTGCTGAAAGTTTGACATAGTGCTGTTATCTAGTCAACTGGTTCAATTACAGCACCCAAAACATTTCAATGATATGTTGACTAAGCCTTGAATAACAGTATGTTTATTGACCCATATCGTGATGAAATTGTTGTAGGAAAAACTTCGGCAGAAGACTACTGGACATAATCTGAGCGATTTGGGCTATATAGAACTACAGTAATCTTGACATAGGTAAATTTCGTAAGAAAAATTCGAAACTTTTGTGGCACTATGTCGTCAGTTAGCACTTTCTTGATACTACCTGATTTCTAAGTCGTCTTAGGTCACCCACTTCTAGCATCTCTTTCAGGCAATTAAGATGAATTCCTGATTGTAATGGTTTATACCGTCGCCATATGCTATGTTGTACCGAGATTGTTTGACCATTAGCCGATTGGTTACGAAAGAGTTCTAGGTCTTTTCATCTGTTCATAAATCCATTGAATTATTTCAAAAACCTCGCAAGTGTTTATCGAAATGACGCCGCTCAACAGAGGAGATACCAATAGGTGTTGTTTGTTGACTTCTGACCGATCTTAGAGCAAGAGCCTAAGGGCTAATTTCAGGCATAGTCAAACTTCACGGAACACCGAAATCTTTCAAGTTGTGATTACAGAACACACACAAAAAGTTAGTCACTGCAAGTATACGAAGGCTGTTAATGGTCATGAATACCTTACCAACGCATCAACTGTAGATTCTAATCCCGAATAATATTTAAAATTAAAGCATTATTTATGATAGTTTTGGCACAAATTAAGGCCGTTGAAATAAACAACATACCTTTTACACAGGCGTGACCATATCTGAGCAATTATACCATGTCTTAGTTATCAAGTTGTTGGCCTATGCTGACTCGTAAAATATTATTAGTCGTAATGTTTTGATGTTTGTCAGGTTTATTCAACTGAATTCAATACTTAGTGTAGATTGATCGCTACATTAAAGTCCTCACGAACACGTTTTTGTTGCTGTTGCGTAATGTTTCCTGGCATGCAAGCATTCATACTTAACATTTACAAACAGCTGACTACCGTTGTTTCCGAAAATTATTTTATTGTTTTTTTTGTTTTTCCTTCACTTTCCCAGTGGAACATAGGGCTTCAACCTGGTGGCTTGAAGTTTCTGTAGCAGTGTTTATTTTTACAGGATAGGGTTGCTAGCCTCATGCCCAACCTTTCCTCTTCATCAGCATTATTTCTGGCTTAGCGAGGTAAAGGAGTGCGTCGGTGACCGGGGATCCAACCCCGGACCATGTGCACGGTCAGCGAGCGTCCTAACTGCTGTGCCACCGACACACATTTTATTGTACACTGATCGAAATGATTATACGAGTAAGTGTTAACGCCATGAACTTCGACTTAAACAGTTTGTGGGTTTCTCAGTGCAGTGTGCACTTGTGGCACCACTCAAAAGTGTTCTTGCTATGAAAAGATAGGAAATGTGAAAATAAATGCCAACGGAATGGGTAGAAAAACTGTACAATATCACATCTAGTGTTTAAATTAATAAACACTGCTCAAAAGTGATTCGGGGATAGGGGAATTGTAAGTAGACTACGTTGCTTATTCAAAATTGCCGTAAACTGTAAGCAAAGAAGACATCTAAATAATTAATTTGGAATTAATTTTTTAGGTGCCTAATTTGTAAATTATTGGTGAAGTTGATAAGTTGGTCAGTGTGCTCCACAGATAAGCAGGGCTCCTGGACTATCTGGTTACTGCCACAGAAACAGCTAAGAATAATTGGTTTCAGTAAAGTGGATTGTTTGTGGACCATGAAATCTGACATCGGTTAGAGAACCACTGGAAAACCTTAGAGTACTGAACAGCTGTTTCGTCCTAATTTGGGACTTTCATCAGCACTCACCCACCGGGTCAGCTCATGATGAAATCCTCTATCCAATCAAACAAAATCCCCACAAAACAAATATTCGAAAATCCTAATTACCCAGTTGGGACTAATGAAATGACAGAACTAACAGTGACTGGTTCACAATAAGACAAATGGATGCATTTCGTAGAGTAGGCGGGTACTTGATAGATGAAATACTAAATAAAGGCACATTGGTATAGTTGTCACCAGTCCATGAGAGAGTATTAGTGTTTGTATGCTACTTAAACTTGATATTTTTCTAATGGATTTGAGCTTTGAAATAATATTTTTTGATGAACAGAAGTCCACTGAATTTAGAACAAATACTATATGAAATTATCGACTGCGGCACAAAATGACCGTGCTTTTGGCCACGAAAGTTCAACTCCAGACTCGACGTCCCATTATATTTAGCAATGAACTTATACCTAATGGCAACTATGTGATTCTCATTAAAGGGTGAATCTTGACAGTCTTGAGAGTTAACCATTTCGCCACTTATCGAACTGGTTCGTCGCTCTACTATTTCCTGCAGCTATCAAATGGGCCACATGATTTTATATGGTACGCGCTAGTGATCGCGTATTGCTGTGATGAAGTAGTAGGTTCACTGTTTTTATTACAGCCATTACGATCTCTGTTGAACAAAATAAAAATTAAATATGTTGAGCTGACCAGTTGCCTCCATCTGCCTGACAGACTAGTCATGGCGAGATATTACGTGAATTCACATTCTGGTTATTTTTGTATCACTATTATCGTTGTTCCCTTCGGTTTCGGTTGGAACATAGGGCTTCAACATCACATCTCCCCTTTGTCCTATTCTCTGTAGTCTTCCTTAGCTTGTCCCACGACTGTGCATAGTTTCTTATCCCCTCGTACGATCTCCTCCATGTCACCCTCGGATGCTTCAATTGTCGACACTCTGATTACTG